ACAAACATGTCCACATCGGCCCTCGGGCCCGCAGAACCACACCAAACACTGAGCATCTATCTGGAAAGCAGACACACTCCGGGACTTTTCTGGGGAGCTGGAGCGCTGGTATCACGGGGAGAGCGTTTGCCTCGCACGCGGCCAACCTGGGTTCAATTCCCGGCATCCCGTAGGGTCCACGAGTACCACCAGAAGTAAGTAACCTCCGAGTGTCACTGGGTGTGACCCCAAAAGCCAAAATCAAAAAGAAAAAAAGCAAACGCGAAACCCATCGGAGAGCAAATCACCAGTGCGTGGAAACGAGGCCCGTCGCGTGTTCCCGGTACTTTCTCACGGAAACCTCTCTTGGGAGTTGCTTCTGGCCCTTCCGGCCAGCGCCCCTTCTGTTTCCTCAGGGCAGGCTGGGCCCAGCTGGACAGCCCAGCGTGGGTGTGGACGCCGTTCCCGGCGGCCCCCCCAGAGACACAGCGATGGGGGTTCAGGTCGCTCAGCCTTCCAGTGCTCCCGCTGTTCCACCAAGTCGAGAATAACGAGCACGGCTCCAGGGGCAGGTGCCGTCGGGGGAGGCGTGAGCACAGGTGCGGGCGAGGGAAGGGCCGGGGGTGGCAGGGCCGTGCTTGGAAAGGAAGGGCCTCTCCTCCTGCGTGGTGTCAGTCTCCAGCCACACGCGGCGAGCCGAGCTGAGCAGCTTCCCGTGGCTTCCGGGCAGCGGCCGAGGTGCTGCGAGCAGAGGGGCGGCCTCCCTCCCTTCCTCCCTCCCTCCCTCCCTCCCTCCCTCCCTCCCGGTCACCTCCCGCAATGGCCGGGCGGCTGCCTGAGAGCTGTCTCTCGTCCAAGAAGAGCTGAAGAGAGTCCCAGCGGAGATGGTGTTTATTCAAGCCCGTTGGAAAAGCATTCCTATCATTTCCAGAATGACTAAATATTTTTCATGCGCATAGCCGGCATTCCAGACCCTCCTTCCTGTCTCGCGGACGGGCTGGGGCTGAGCAGGGCCGAGGCTGGCCTGCTGGATCCGGAGATTATCTGCGCCGAGACGCGGTGACATCCGGCGTGAAGGCCCGGCCGGTCCAGGGCTGGCGGCGACCCTGGCCCAATGGTAGGCTCGTCCCCGAGTGCTCGGAGCGAGGTTCCAAGGTGGGCGATCTCCTCGCAGTTTAAACACCTCGAGATCCGCGGGCTTGCTGCAGGAAATCCAAACGATGACGATGACGAAGTTCCCCCGGCCCGACTCCGGGGGCGGCACCCGGGGCTCGAAACCCAAGTTCGCCACAGGGTCACTTGCTCCTCGCACGTGTCATCCTGCATCTGCCCTTATTGGGACAAGCCGGGAAAAAAAAAACCAACCCAAAGCGAGCCAGACGGGGCTGTATTTTTGCTTCCATTTAAGGCACCGGTGTCAGGACACGCAGAGTTAAAGCAGGAGTGAGCCCGTGGGCCTCGAGACGCGGGACGCCGCGAGCAAGCGGCTATTTGCGGCTGCTAAGAATAGCCCAGCCGTGGCCCCTGCGGCCGAGCCTCCGGGGAGCCGCGCGTGGCCCCCCCCATCTGAACCGGAACGTCCATGTGGTCTGGCCGCTGGGCCGGTCAGGCTCCACAGACGCCTGGCCACGGGGGCAGCAGTCTCACCACGGGGGACGCGTCCACGGAGAGGGCGTCGGTGGGCAGGGCTGGAGACACACCGATGTTTCGGGAGTCCAAGAAAGGCCACGGGCTGGGGCCGGGCCCTGCTCTGCTGGCTGCCCAGGAGAGGGTCCGGAGGACGCGCTGTGACGGCTGTTTCCGGGGAAGGTCAGAGCTTTCTTGGGCATCCACACGGCCCTGGGGGTGCCCACAGATGTGAGCCCCGGGCTGGGCGCACTGCGCAGAGGCAGACACTGGACCTTCCGCTGTGCATGGAACCTGCTGAAGGGGTGCCAAGCCGGGCTGGGCTGGGAGAAGCCACGGCCAGCTCGGACACTCTGCCGAGAGCCTGCGCTGCGACAAGAGCCCACAGATGACCCCTGCGGTGGCTCCGCAGTGACCCCCACTTCCAGGTTTCAGTTATGGGGAGCTGAGAAAAACCCTCCCCACGGCCTGGCCAGGACGCAGCTCTGATGACCGACAGGCAACGTCCTCACTGGGGACCAACTGGCTAAGGAAGTGGATGTGCCTTTGGTCCAGCAAACACCCCGTGTGTCCTGTCGGGACAGTGGGATTGCCTGACCGGCCAGCCCAACATGCAGACACACGTGCCCTTTGTCAACAGCACCCACGGGGTCTTGGTTCCCAAAAAGTCATGCCCTGGGCGGGGGCTCCAATGTGCCCCATCACCCAAACTGTCACCTCCACCCTACAGGAAGAGGGACATCTTGCCTGCCAGGCAGCCACCTGGGCAGTCGGCCCTGGTCCCAAGGAGCCCGTGTGCAAGGTACCCCCAGCCATGTCCCTTGCATCCTCCTGCCTGAGTCACCAGGCAGTGCCTCCGGGAGCCTCCCGGACCTCCCCCTGCCCAACAACCCAGGTGGTCAGTGGCCCCATTCGAGGCCCCTGACCCTTATCTTAAGAAATGCCAGCGGGCCCTGTCCAAGCCCTCTTGGCCACAGCACAAAACTGAAACGGGCCCTGGGAGCAGCGCAGATGACCACTCAGGGCAGGACCCGCTGACCAGGCTGGTCTAGGCAGACACAGGGAGGCTGGGGAGACTGAACTCGGGGTCTGAGCTGGGCAAGGGGCACGCACAGGCCTGGGGGAGCTGCTGGGAGGGCCCTGATCAGGGTGAGACCCCATCCCCTTGCCCTGGATGCCTCCCTAACCCAGCACACCCGAGGTCTGTGGTCGGGGAGCATTCTAGCCTTCTTGCCTGAGGTCAGGGAACATTGTAGCCGTCTTGTGGCTAGGAAAATTGCAGTCCTCTTATGGCCAGAGAACCTTGTAGCCTTCCTGCGGCCAGGGAACACTGTAGCCTTCTTGCGCCTAGGAATATTGTAGTCTTCTTGCCACAGAGAACATTGTAGCATTCTTGCGCTAGGGAACATTGTAGCCTTCTTGTGGCCGGAAATATTGTAGCCTTCTTGTAGCCATGGAACAATGTAGCCTTCATTGTAGCATTCTTGCTGTCCAGGGAACATTCTAACTTTCTTCCTTCCCGGGGAACATGCTAACATGCTAATGTTCTTCCTGCCTGGGGAACACTCTACCTCCTTCCTGCCCAGCAGCCGCAGAGGGGGAGGGCTGGGTGTTGCCCATCAGGGGCATGGGCACGTGGCCGGGTACTGGCCGAGGTGCTGCAGGGCCCCGCGGGCTCTGGCCTTTCCTGAACTCAGGGGCCACAGTGGGGGTAGGCAGTCGGCCCACAGGGTCCTGGGCTTTGGAGACACGCTGCTGTGTGGCCCTGAGTGTCGTCGTGCGGGCACCTGCGGTGAGTGTCCGCTGCTGGGGTGAGAGGTGTGGGAGGGCAGAGGGCGGCCTTCCTGATGGCCAGGCGACGGGACAGGTCACAGCACCCCTGTGGATGCACCAGGCTCTCCCCCTGCCAGCTCCACACAGAGCCAGGAAACAAGTCACTGACGAACAAGGGCAGGTGGTGAGAAAGGTGGTGGGTCCCAGCTCTGGGTGCCGCTGGGTGCTGGGGCACCCACTGGGCTTTGGGACACCTGCTGGGCCCCCTCTGGGCTCTGGGGAGCATGTATCCTGGCTCACCTGGGCAGCCGGGCAGGCTGCTGATGAGGACTCGCCCAGAGGACTGGAGGGCCACCTGCTCGCACCCAGTCTTGTGTGTCCAGCTGGCCCACAGCCCTGTCCTCGTGGGGATGGCCCTGGTGCTGTTAATGGGCCCATGATGCCGCGGAAGGTCCTGACCTGCCTCTCCGGGCCTGGGAAGTTTCCTACCAACATACTCCCAGCCCCCACGGGTGGACACAGAGAGGACTAACCGGACGGCAGTGAGCACCAGGAACCGAGCGCATGCACGCCGGGCTCGAGTCTTGAACCTTCTCCAACCTTCACCCACTGCGCACCCCCGGGCTGGCCGAGAACCTGCCTGACCGCCTGGATCCCCCAGGTACGTGGACAGCGTGCTCTGTCCTGTTCTGCTCGCGGCCACCCACGCACTTCTGGGATCACTGGAACTTCCATCTGCTACTGGGATTGTGCAGAGAAAAAAGAAAATTCCAGGGACCCAGATCCCCAGTGCTGGAAGGAAGAGGTGGTTCCCGCCAGCCCCGACGCTGACCCCACAGACGCTCTTCCTGCGGCCCTCGCCCCGGAGATGCCCTTCTCGGCGGGCACCACAGGACCGACGACCGGGAGGCCGCAGACTCATGGGGGTGGGGGTGCTGTGGGGGGCGTTGGGCCCTGCTGCTGCCGAACGGCTCAGCCTGATTCCGCTGCGGCGGGGTGGGTCCCCGACAATCTCCACCCCCACCTGGTCACGCATGGCTCTCCGGGCCTCAGCACGGTCGGCACCCCACCAGGCCCACATGGCGGAGGGGTAGGGGCCACTCCTGGAGCTGCATGCGTGTGCATGTGCGTGCTATGTGTATATGAGTGTATGTATGTGCGTGTGTGCTTTGTGTTATGTGTTGTGTGGATGTGTGTGTGTGCATGTGTGTGCTTTGCGTATGTGTGTGTTTGTGCTGTGTGGATCCGTGTGTGTGCATGTGTGTGCTTTGCGTATGTGTGTGTTGTGTGTGTGTGTATGTGTGTCTGTGTTGTGTGGATGCATGTGTATGCTTTGCGTATGTGTGTCTGTGTTGTGTGGATGCATGTGCTTTGCGTGTGTGTGCTTTGCGTGTGTTTGTGTTGTATGGATGTGTGTGTGTGCTTTGCGGATGTGTGTGTGTGCGTGTGTGTGCTTTGCATATGGGTGTGTTGTGTGGATGCGTGTGCGTGTCTGTGTTGTGTGGATGCGTGTGTGCTTTGCGTGTGTGTTTGTGTTGTGTTTGCTGCGTGTGCATGTACGCATGTGCGTGCGCGTGCGTGTGCTGTGTCCTCGCGGTCCGTGCCCGGCGGGCGGCACTCACCTTCGCACACGGGGCAGCACTCGCCGGGCACCCTGACGGGGCTCACGCAGCTCTGGCCGCAGGCCGTGGCCACGCAGTGGGGCTCGCCGTCGATGCACTGGCAGAAGGTGCAGTCGTCCTCCCGCCACCGGTCCCCGTGGGCGCGGATCTGGCCGCCGGCGTAGCAGCCGGCGGGGTTGCTGAGCGGGTACACGGGGTCTGCGGGCAGCGGGCCGGGTGAGCCGGGGGCCGCCGGCCGCGCCCCCCGCCCCGCCCCCCCGCAGGCCGGGCGCCCGCTCTCACCCTCGCACACGGGGCAGCACTCCCCCTCGGGCACGTAGTAGCGCTCGCAGCTCAGCTCCCCGCACTGCGCCGTGAAGCAGACGGCCACGCCGCCCTGGCAGCGGCAGAAGCGGCAGCTGTCCATGCGGAACATGGCCCCGTCCCCGTACTCCACGCCGTTGAACACGCAGGCCGGCTTGGTCTCTGCAAGGAGAAGGCAGGCGCGGGGCGGTCAGTGCTCGGGCTGTCCCACAGCGGCCGCCCGAACTGACCGGGAGTGGCGGGCGTGGCTGGACCGCAGGGCGGAGCGAGCGAGACGGGCCGTGATGCTCCAGCACACCCAGGGGTCAAATTTCCCCACGCGAAATCGAGGCCGATGCCCCAGGTCCCGGCATGCGGGGGGCTCAAGAGAGGACGGTCAGCTCGGTCACATCGCTCCTGCCCTCCGGTGAAAGGGCCCGCCCACCCTGCCCCTGCAGTCTCCCCTGGCTGGGAGAGCATCCCGTCTCTGACCCGGGCTTGCTGAAGCAGAGCACTCGCTGCATACACAGCGCCACCGAATCCCCGTCGCCAACGTCCGGGGGGCATCGCCAGCCCACCCCTGGGCTAGGAGGCAGGGAATCTTTCTGTAAGTCGCGCAGGACTGAGTGTTGGGCAAAGGGCGGAAGCCAACGTGACAGCCCCTTCCGTGGTGTCCGGGAAGCTGCTTGAAGCACGCGGGGCTCTGCATTTCCAACTGGGATCACGACACCAAACGGTTCAGCATTTCCCCCCTCTGCCTCAAAACATCAACCCGATATCCATTCCTCATCTCTGGTTGAGATGAAAAGAACTCCCATGGGTTAGAGACGTTACAAGAAAAAAAACAACAACCCAACTACTGGTCTAGTATTATTAGTTTTTGAAAGAAACGTGAATGCCTTCAAAAAACAGCAGACCGAAGTCAGCAAGCAACAGAGGCTCACGCCCCGTGACCAAGAACGCAAGCCAGGCTAACTACCCCACAGTCAACCAACGCGCCACGGCAGGGTTTGATAAAGACAAGACCCACGCCCTCCTCCCCACGAAGGAAAAAACAACTGGCAAAATGTTCAGTGCCCTTCCAGAATAAGGAATACTGCCCTTCTCAATAATCTCAGAACAGGAGGTGACTTCCTCTACCTGAAAAACAGCAGTTTAAGAAAAAAAATCACAGTTGAACAGTACACGTAATAGTATTTCAGTGTTTCCCCTGAAGATCAGGAGCAAGAGAGTAATATTTAGTCCCGACACTTTAATATAATTTAGGATGGCACCAGAGGCGCTAGCAGGGGAGCAAGCCAGAAAATTGAAACAAACAAAACCGAGACCAAACATCTGGATTGGAAAAGAGAAAGTAACAGGAGTTCTAGCTCCAGAAGGCACGATCTTGTAGGAGATAAAACTCTGAATAGTCTACCGAAAATGACCAGAACTACAAGCAAGATGCCACAACAACTCAAAGCAAATTGATGTATATATACTGAGATCACGGACAACCCGAAGTTAAAGCTAAGACACCAGTCCTGTTCACAATGGAACCAAACACAATACAATAATACCGTGCCATTAATGTAACGAAAAATGCACCAAAAATTGGCCTCGGAGGACTACACACCACGGCTCAAAAAATTTCAAGTTCTAAGTAAATAAAAGGAAATGATAATGGAAGATAATAACATCAATATAACAAGACGGTCAGATTTCTTCATCAAGACCCTGAATCCTGGAGCGAGGAGACGCCTTTGGGTGACACGAGCACACGACAGGGACGAATGGAGACGTTACTGGTGCCCGCTCGAGCAAATCGCTGAGCAACAGGATGACCAGTGATACAAGTGATCACTGACACTGAGCTCTCTAAGCAGTCGGTCAAATCCTTCGCTGACTCTTCCACAAAACTTGACAGCCATGTGGATATGCGAGGGAAGGGACTCAGAAACGCCAACACAATACCGAGGAGAGTGAAGGCAGCACGCAGAGAGACTGTCAGACATCGCTGCGCATTAATAAACACATTAATTAAACAAGACATTCGCAAAGCATGGCAGTGGCATCAAAACAGACTTCAAAAAAAAAGTTGGGTAGTTCAGAAATCAATCCCCATTTATTGGTTTTCCTGAGTTTTCCTGGGCTACGCTTGACACACCTAAGCGTGTAAGTCTAAGGTACAACATGACACAGATTTTTTTCTTCTAGAAGGGGGCCCAAGATGACTCATGGGAGAGACGGAGAGAACCCAGGAGGCTGAACTCTGCACCCTGGCCTGTGGGCTCATCACTGTCTTCTGGGTCCCCAGAGCTGGAGATAGCCCTGGGCCGTGCTAGGTACGGCCTTGAAACAGAACTTCCTTTCAGGGGGAGAACTGGCTGTGACCAACAATCTCCCGGGGCTCACGGCAGTTTGTGAAGGGCCCTTGCAGGGAGCACTTGGGCGGGGGGGGGGGGGGGGGGGGGAGATGAGGTGTGTGTGTGTTTCTGTGTGTGTGTTTGCAGGGAGCACTTGGGTGTGTGTGTGTTTTGGGTGTGTATGTGTGTGTGTGCGTGCGCACGCACTCGGGGAACTACAGGCGGTGTCAGGGATTGATCCAGGGTCAGCCATGCTCAAGGCAGACACCCAACCCCTGTTCTTTCTCTGCTCCCAAGGACACACACACACACACACACACACTCTCTACATGGAGCGTTATTCCAGTCTCTGAAAACGAACACCATACCACGTCTATGTACACAGGGAGCGTGGAGGTGTGGCTGCGAGCAGAGGGACCCCCAAAACTCCACAAGAAAAGGCAGCTCTCAAGAAGGCCGCCCCCGCACCCCGGCATGAGGAAATCCCCATGTGAGGGGCAAGGAACTCGAGGAGGGGTGCTGAGGGGCCGGCGTGATGGGAGGCGGCGGAGACAAGGAACTGGTCCCTTGCCAGGGCTGGGGTACCCCCAAGGGGCAGGGCTGCGCTGTCGGGGTGCTGGGCAGGGGGCAGAGGCCACTGGGAGACGCAGCGGGGCCCTCCCTGGCCTCTGAGCTGCCCATGAGGGGCTTCTGGCCTGTGCTTTGGGCCTCCTAGAATATGCTGCAAGCTCTGAAGTTCTGGAATCTTCTTTGATATATCCCAGGACACTTCGAGAAGAGCCTTCTAGTCTACGCTGTTCGTTCTACCTCTGCGGCCTGCCGAATGCCAGAGGGCAGTGGAAAGGGGAGAACGAGAGAATGGAGAAAGCCACCGGGTGCCGGAGCGGAGAAGGAGGGGCCAGAGCGACAGCACAGTGGGGAGGACGTTTGCCTTGCACGCGGCCGACCCGGGTTCGATCCCTGCATCCCATATGGTCCCCCGGGAGTAATTCCTGAGTCCCCAGGAGTAATTCCTGAGTGCAGAGCCAGGAGTAACCCCTGTGCATTGCTTGTGTGACCCAAAAAGCAAAAAAATAAAATAAAATAAAATAAAAAAGAAGTAGAGACGCAGGTGCAGGGCTGCCGTGGCCTCCTGCCTCTGGGGGTCTCCCAGGGCGGCCTGGGGGTGGGGTGGGGCACAAGGTCTCTCCAGAGCCAACTTGAGCCCCAGAGAAGAAATTCAGGGGGGTTCTGATGAAGTCACAGGTTCCTGGCAGATGCAGCATGGCGGGGGGGGGGGGGGGGGGCTGGGGGAAGGCCCCCAGGGAGGTTCCTCTGTGGCTCCGGGCAGCCTTGGCCCTAGAAGCAGACGCGAGGTTCCAGAAGCATCCCCGGGAGCTGTCCCCCGGACCAGATTCTCGGCCCAAACCTCTCACGTGGGGCCGGAGCAGCAGCACGTCGAGGAGGGCACTGGCCTGGCATGCGGCCGACCCGGTCTGAGCCCCAGCATCACACAGGGCGCCCCGAGCACGGCCAGGTGTGGTCCCCAGACAGAAACAGCAAAATGAGCCACACACACGTGCGGTGCCAGGTGACACGGAATTGTGACCCAGGCGTGTCTCAGGGCGGCGCCTGACCCTGGGGGACACAGTCACTGGCACCGCTCGGGGGCTGTGGGGTGACTCGAGTGAGGATGAACCTCGGCGAGCACTGCTGGGGAGCCCCGGGCAGCCCCCAGACAGCTGAGACAGCCTGGGCCGCAGAACCATCTGGGGGCTCCGCGTCCCGGACCCCTGACCCCCAGCAGCCCGGCCACAGCGCCCCTCTCTGCCCCAGGGGCTCCCCGCTGGGACTCTGCCCGCGTGCCCTGTCACGGTCTCACTCGGACACAGGCGGGACAGTACATGGCTGGCACCCCCGGGGAGGGGCTGCTCCACTGTCCCCCTGGACGTGTGACCACTCAGCATGTCTGCGCTCCCTGCCCAGACCCACCCGGTGGGCAGGGCCAGGCGGGCTCCCCACCACACGCACATGGGTGTCCCACACGTGCACACGCTCCCACGACGTGTGTACACTCCGAACACACGCGTGCTCCCCCCCACATGCATGGTCATGCACACACGTGCACGCTCCCACACACATGTGCATGCCCACACATGTGCACGCCCACACGTGTGCGCACAGATGCAGACACGCCAGGTCATTGCACACGCATCGAGGGGACGTCAGACTCTGCCTCAGCCAAGTCCCGCCGCGGCCGCAGCCGAGGGTGACACTCAGTGGAGCAGGCTGGCCGGGACCACTCCCGGCTTGTGGGGAGGGACAAGGCCATGGTCGTCCTGGAAGGTGATGGCGGCCCCATGCCCTGCACCGGGTGCCTGCCTGGCACCAGAACTCACTTCGCCCGGGGCCAGGTGAAAGGCGGGACCCCCCCTCCCACCCCACCCGAGAAGCCGCAGTGAACAAGGTGGCCGTGGGCACGGCCAGAGGGTCACAGAGAGAAGCAGAAACCCCCGCGTGAAATGGGGGTCTGGAGCAGAGCCCCACGGCTGCGCACCCTCTTCTGGGCTCTTGGGGAAACGGAGGTGCCCTGGGGCAGCTGACCCACGTCAGGGCAGGTGGGGTGGGGGGTCCCCCGCACCTGCAGGGGGGGGGGGCAGAAGCAGGCCTGACCTGTCCCCCTGCAGAGGCCAGGAGGAGGCTGGTTCGCATGCCTCAGGCAGCCCAGACACACCCGGAGCGGCGGCCACTGAGTCGCACAGCAGGGGGGTCCTGGCCTGCCCTCCCCTCCCCTCCGGCCCTGCCAGGCCTCTCACTCCCGCTGCCCACAGGGTCCCGGGTGGGCCGGGCGGGCGTCCGTGCCAGCCCCTTCCACGAAGCTCTCCCCGCCCCCACCCCCCGGGCAACGCGGGTGCCCACCCGGTGACAGCCGCCGACCGGGACGGGGACGGGGGACGGGAGACCCACGTACCATTGACACACTCAAAGACATCACAGCACTTGCCGGGGGTCCCGGTTCCGCGCGAGACTCTGTGGGGGCTGCTGCCCGCCTCACACGCGGGGAACGCGCACAAGTCAGAGAGACACTCGCATCTGAAACCAAACAGAGGACACCCGTGAGTAGCAGCGCCGGGGAGGCACCCGGCCCGTCTCAGGGCCCGGCAAGGGGCGAGGGGCTCCCACGGGGCCGACGCCTGGACTTGGGATGGGTCTGACTCCGCTCTTGGGGCCACCCCGGGAGGCCTGGGGAGGAGGCGCGGCTGCAGGCGGGAGGCGGGAAAAGGAGAGGAGCTGGGGGTGGCCTGGGGGGGGGAGGGCGCTTGGGGCTGGAATATGGGGGTGCCTCGTGGGATGGGGCCAAGGTGTCCGGGTCCCCAGCAGGGAGAGAGTGTGGGGGACCCCGAGTACCTCGGGTCCTGACCAGGTAGGTGGGCGGCGGCAGGGAGGGAGTTGGGATGGCCGAGGTCAGCCCGGGGCCCTGGCCGAGGGGCATGTCCTCCCCCGAGAGTGCAGATAACGGGGGCCCATGTGCGTGTGGGGGCAGGAATGGACGTTAGGGGCCATTAGGCTCTGTGGCTGGCCGCACTTCTCAACTTGAGCCCCCGACCCCAGCCTGTCTCCGAGCCTGTTTCGTTGGGGGCTCAAGTGCCCCTCGGTGACCCCAGGAAACAAGTTTGGCCTATGGGGGGCGACGGGGATTGTGGCCGTGGGAGCCCCTCAGCTGCCTCCAGAGGTCCCCAAGAGCAGTGGGGAGGTTCACTTCACGGCTTGGAGGCCAGCCGCACACTCTAGGGGTAAAGGTAGCTCCAAAGGAGATGGAGAAGGGAGCACCAAATAAAGGGTGCTGGGAAGATCCGCCCAGAACAGGAGATGCCTGCTGAAAGTGGACTCGAGACCGAACATGACTGCCACCCACTGCCTCTTCTGCAAACCACAGCACCCAAAAGGAGAGAGAGACAAAAGGGAGTGCCCTGCCACAGAGGCAGGGGTGGGTGGGAGATGGGGGGGTGGGAGGGATACTGGGATTGGTGGGGGTGGAGAATGGGCACTGGTGGAGGGTTGGGTGTTCGATCACTGTATAACTGAAACCCAAGCACAAAAACTTGTAAGTCTACAACTGTATCTCACGGTGTTCCACTAAAAAAAAAAAAAAAAAAAAAGAGCGTCAGCTCCACATGATCGGGGCAGGGCAGAAGCGACAGGTGGCTCCTAGTCGGGCCCCGAGGGGGGCTGTGTGCGGGTCCTACCATCGCTCCCCCCCCCCCGGGAGCTGCCTCAGGCTCTATGGGGAGACACGCCCAGAGCACCCCGGCCCCCGTGGACAGGGCGTCCGTTCCTGTCATGAGGCCTTTCCACAGTAGGTCTGGGGAAGGGTCGAGTGGCCGGGCGTGATGGACGGCACGGGCCTGGGGGGCCGAGGCCTCAGCTACCGGGGGTGGGCGTCTGGGGGGAGGCACACAGGGGCGTGGGGGTGGGGAGCAGGCTTCCGCCCCCCGAGGTGGGGCCCCTGGGGGTCAGGTGCTGGCTCGCAGGGGCCGTGCCTTTCTGCTGTGCTCGGGAGCGTGTGGTGTCCAGAGCTGGGCAAGAGCCCTCGGCAGGGAGCAGGTCCCAGGGCCCAGGGGTCTGCCCCTCTGTGTGTGTGTGGGGGGGGGCTCGGGGGCCCCTAGGGGCCTGCCCCCTTGGGTGGGGGGACCCTGCGGCTCGGAAGCTGCCGGGCTCCCGGCATGGCTGACCTGGCAGCTGCAAAGGCGGTGCCCAGCTCCAAGACAATCTTGGAGCCCTGACGGCAAACTCTGACCGTCCCGCAGGCAGCCCCCTCCCTAAGGCAGCTCCCATCCGCACCAACACTCCGTGCAGTTCCCTCCTGGGAGGGGCCGGGATCGGGAGGACACGCCCTGGACCAGCCCTGGGCACTGCAGCCAGGCTGTGGCCACCAGGCAGGCAGGGGGTCACCGGAGGGGGTCCTGAGAGAGACTGTCTGAAACCCACAACATCTCGGACAGCATCCACCCGGCAGAAAAGCCAGGCAGCATCAGGCAACAGTCAGGGCTGGTGCCAGTGCAGGCTAAGGATCCCGTCCCTGGGCGACCCCCACGACCCCTCTGTGCACGGCCTGGAACTTCCCCTGGGACGTGGACACCCAGACACGAGCCTCGGTGCAGGTCCCTAGCAGTGAGAGCCTCGGGGCATCTGCCCCCGGGATGGGCTGGACAGAGAGGACAGGGTACACACAGAGAGAGCCCCCCCCCAGCAAATCCCAGGCAGTGACCTGACCCAGCACCCGTGTCCCCCCCACTCAATCACGTCACACACTTTCCCTCTCGGGGTCCCGGGAAACGCACCCGCGGGCAGGGGGACAGCAGGGCCACTAGGCCCCGGGCCCCGCTGGGAATGACCTGCCCTTCACACTCGCACAGAGGAAAAGGACGTGCTGACTCGTCCATACAACAGGGGAGGCCCCCGTCCACACAGCAGGCTGACAACCGGACATCAGCCAGGCAGTGAGCCCCACCCCGAACTCTGCCACCCGAACCCTGTCACTTCCTTCCACCCAGCACCAGGGAGAGTCACAGGAGCCAAGGCTGCATGTGTGTGCGTCCTTTCGTGCGTGTGTGTGCATGTGCGTGTGTTTGTATGCGTGTGCATGCGTGGGTTTGCATGTGTATGCATCTGCGTGTGTGTGTGTATATGCAAGTGTGTGTGTGTGTGTGTGTGTGTGTGTGTGTGGCAGTGGTGGGGTGGGTACTGAGTCACCTACTCCAGCCACCTCCTGAAGAGCAAGCAGTCGCCTGGGTCTGGAGCAGCCTCGCTGTCTGCCTGGAGGCAGAGTCCTACGCGACGGTGGCCTGGCGGCGAGAGCGAGGCAGGTGGGTCACGCAGAGGGTCCTGCTCTCCACCCAGCTCAGGGGCATGGGAGGTCGCCCTCCCGCCTGGGGGGGCCCGGGGTGGGGGGGTGCTGTGGTTTCTGTGTGTCCAGAGGCTGGGAGCACAGAGGGAGCCCCCGAGCTTGGTTTCGGGATGGGACAGGGAGCGGGGGGCGGTCCCGGCTAAAAGAGGCCGTCACAACACGGAGCCTCCACAGTCATTCTGTTTCAAAAGCACAGGGTGAAGGGAGCCTGGTGGCTTCTGAGAGACTCACTGGTGCTTGAGGGGCAGACACCCCCAGAGGCGGGTTGGGGGGGATGGGGGGAGGGGAGAGGTTCTCGCCTTGGTCAGGAACAGCCTCCAGTGCAGGCCAGTTTCCTCCCGCCCGCCCGCCCGTGTTTAGAAACAGAGAACGCTGCTCGCTTTCCAGTCAGGAATGTTCCAAATCTGCACTTGGCTGATGCCTGTTTCACTCCTTCTATGATTTTCTTTCCCCCAAAGCCCAAAGCAGCTGAGGGAATTATCCAAATTAAAGCAACCGGCCCCTCCCACTTCGAGGGAAGGGAACTGGAGAAATCTGCCTACCAACGCACTGATCTTAACCAAACCAAAAACAAAAAAACGAAACAAAAAAACAAATAAAACCCAAACTGGTAAGTTCCATCTTCTTGGGGACAACGGCTCTGGAACAGATGGACGCGATAATTAATGACAAGGCTTTTGATCTGACGGAGTCCTTTAGAAAATGAATGTTCAAGGACAGTTTCCCACCAATTAACTTGACTAGATATGACACAAGGAACTAAATTACCAAGTGTGACCTTTTTTATTTTCTTTTTTGGGTTGTTTGTTTTGGGGCCACACCTGGCGATGCTCAGGGCTGATCCTGACTCTGCACTCAGGGGTCGCGCCTGGCAGTGCTCGGGGCCGTCTGTGGTGCAGACCTGGGTTGGCCGCATGCAGGGCCAGTGCCCTCCCGCTGTGCCGTCGCTCTGTCTCTGGCCCGTAGCAGAAATTCTCAAGAGGGGCCACAGAGCCCCTCTGGACCTCCAAGTGGCCGCGCGCCGGACTTGGAGGGGCAGCAGTGGAGGGCTGTCCACTCTGTCCCTCTTGGGCCCTTCCGAGGCAGAGAGAGAAGCGGCAGCTCAGAGGAACCCACTGAGCACTGGGCTGGACCTGCCGTCCATCAGACACAGAGCGCACGGGGCCCCTGTCCGTGCGCGGCTGGGGAGGGGGTCTTGATGGCCTGCCGCGTCTCCCCTGCCCCAGTAACGGCTCGGGAAAGTGCCAGTTCCGACTCGGCTAGAGAGAGACCGCCCGCGTGCCTGGGTGGGTGTCCGCGTCCCCTTCCTCGCCCGACCCCACACAGACCCGCCTCCTCTCCCAGCGAGTTGGAGCAGCACCGACTCATCCCTCCCTGCGGCCCTGCGGTCAGGCCCCCGTGAATGAACCCCAGCGCTTCTGCAGGGACGGACCTGCCAAGAATTCCACCCGGCATGAGTCAACGGCAGCCTGGGAATCCCGCGGCCCCAGAAGCGCCTGTCCTTGAGGCCTGACCGCTCTGCCCGCCCCAGACAGCGCTGCAGGAAGGCCGCTGAGCGCCCACGGTGGGGCTGTGACGTGGCACCCAAGAGCCGGGACCCCTGAGTCCTGAGGACAGAGCCAGGAGGAACCCTGGGAGGCTGAACGGGGCCACGACAGGCTCCACTTTAAGACCAAAACTCAGCAGGCCTAAGTCTCGGTTTCCCCCATCGGAAAGTCCCGACCTCTCAGAGAACAGCATCCCCCTGGGCAGATGGAGCGCCCCGTGGGAACAGCCTCTCGGAGCGGGGGGCCTGGGCAGGGGCGCCCAGCCAAGCAGGGAGGGCCGAGGGACGGAGTGCCAGGACCGACAGGGACCGAAATTGGAAACACGTTGCCAGTCCCCAGAGAAAAATGCTGTTATGTAACCGAACCCTACATAAACTGCTCGGAGTTCCGAGTCGGGGTCCTTGTCAAGACCCCACCGCGTTGGACGAGACTCGGACCCTGGCCCGAGCTAGCGATGAAGGGGCCTTGCGTTTGCAGCTTCGCCTCTGTTCTGGTCGATGTACGAGCGAAACGCCCTTCCCGCGGCGTAACAACCCCTGAGCGCTGCTGGGTGTGGCCCCCAAACCAACCAACCCACAAAGAACAAGGGCGGGGAAGGGGGCACTGGCCGGGGAGAGCCCCGAGAGGGTGCTGGGTGCCGGCCCTCTCAGACCCAGGCGCCGCCCCCTTTCTCAACTACCCCCCGTCCCATCCCCCGGCCCGCAGCGCCACGAGTCGTGGCTGAAACCGTCTTCCGAGGGTTGCGTCCCGGAAGAACGGGTGAAACCAAGGACACCCACGAGGACACAGGAGCGTGACACGCTGCCACGGCTCCATCCACACGCAAGGCCGAGTCCGGCCGTTTCTCGACTCAGAGACGCCGGGAGAGACGGCGGGAAGTCAGGGGCAGAGAGCCTGGGCAGCCACGCGCGCAGGGCCAGGCGTGGGGGGGGGGGTGCAGGCGTGCGTGCGTGTGTCTGTGTGCATGAGGCCACGCAGAACTCGGCCAAGGGCAGCGTGAAGATGGAGAACGGGCAGGCGGGGGGGGGGGGGGTGCAGAGAGCAGGGGAGGAGGGAGACGGGTGGAGAGAAAGCAGGGGAGAGGGGGTGGGGGAGCCGGGACAAACGGGGAGGCGGGAGGGGAGCCACCGGTACGGGGGAGTTCCTACCCGTGAGTGCAGGGGGACCCCCACACCGTACACACACACACACACACACACACACACAGACACACACACACACACTCTCGGCGCGGGTAGACTGCTGCCGATACAGTCGTGGTGCCCGGCTGGGTGCAGCACACCCCGAGAACGGCGCCCCCTGCTCTGCTCCACAAGGGCGGTGCCAGCAAAGGAGCCTGGCCCCGGGCACACCCCCCTGCCACCACCCCCGTGCCATGGTGCCCAGCTGCCACCCGCCTGCATTTCGCCGCTGCTAAGTTGCCTAACAAAAGACGAAGAACTCCCGATGCGGCCCATGTCGGGGCATCGCCGCGAGCCCCTGGTGCCCGCTGCCCCTCAGCCCGGCACTGAGGCTCTTTCCGGCTCTGCCCTCCCCGGGGACGTGCCCTGCTCCTGCCCGAGAAGGCTTGGGAAACCCAGGCAGTGTCCCCACCCTCCTCTCTCAGATGGTGGGGCGGGACTTGAGAAGGGGCCACGGTGGCCGGAGCTTCTAGAAGCAGAACAAATGCAGGTGCAGGACGTGGAACGTGGGGTTCCCCCCCAGGGGGCTGGCCGGGTGGGACAGGGGAGCCACACGGCTCACCCCACTTTCTGGGGGCCCGCGACCTCATCCACCTGTGCAGGGCACTGCAGGGGCCTCTCAAGAAGGACCCGGAACTGCCTGTGAAGGGCAGAGGGAGGCCAGTCGGGGCAAGCCTTGAGCGGTTCCATTACTCGGGACTAGGAAAACAGAAATCAAGAGACGCTTCTAGATCCTGACTTAAAAATAAAACGAAAAAAAAAAAAATTAAATGGCCCTTTCAGCCCGGTGTCTCAGAGGCCAGGGATATAAATATCCCACCGAGGGGCCCTGGGAGTGAGTCAGACCCTCCGCCAGGGCCCGGAGCCAGCGGGAGCTTGGGAGCGGGCGGGCTGTAGTGCCCAAGGCCCGGCGGAAACCCTATTTTAAGTTTCGGAACGTCCTAAACAACGACGATGTGTCTCCACCTCCGAAAACCCAGAAAGCGTCCCCCGGCCTGTAACTTTGAAGGAGCGCCTAGACGGCAGACGTGGGCTCTGGGTCCTCCCCGCCGCCGGGCCGTTGGGGGCGCTCGGGCTCATCCATCTGCGGCTCAACTGATGACGGGGAAGGAAAAAGGAGAAACTGAGGGTTACTCCCCCCAGCCTCCAAGTCAACAGGTCTCAGAGGGGCCGGGGCGAGCGTCCAGCAGGGGAGGCGTGTGCACTGCACCCGAAGTCCGCCCTCAACACGGCGTCTACAAGCCCAGCACGAGGCTCCTTCCCTACCCGTTACACGCGGTCAACCCGGGTTCGATTCCCAGCATCCCATATGTTCCCCTGAGCACCGCCAGGAGTAATTCTTGAGTGCAGAGCCAGGAGTAACCCCTGTGCATCGCCAGGTGTGACCCCCCCCCCAAAAAAAGCACACACAAGGCTCCTTCTGTTTCGTGTGTCATCGAAGGCCAGTGGGCGTGTCCTCCCCCCTACCCCCGGGGGGGCAGTCACCCACGTCCCAGGGTCTAGCCTCAGACGCTCCCCTGTTCCTGGGGGCCAACCCAGGGGAGGGGACACTCCGCCCTGAGCCCCAGGAAGGCCTGAGGGGCTGAGAGGAGCCAAGTGCGGGGACAGGGGGGACAGCAGGGGCACGGTGAGGAGCACGAGGTTAGCACGGGGGGGGGGGGGAGGGGACCCAACCCCAAGACGGTCCCAGTCACACGTCACAGACAGGCGGGCACTGGACGTGAGCGACGGCCCACGGCTCAGCGGAGCAGCCGACAGCGGGAGAAGCTGCGGGGTCAGCAGGGTCCCCCAAAGGGGCGCCCCGAGGAGGTGGGGGCGCAGGGCCGAGGCCCCGCTGTGCGGCGAGGGGCACGGGGGTTCGCGGGGAGTTGGGGCTGGGATGCCGTGAGAGCCCCGAGCCGAGGCAAGGGTCCGACATTCCTCCCCTCCCACCCCCAGAAGGGCCCACAAGGGACGGCCAGGGCAGGCGCGCGGCTGAGCTCTGCGGAAAGGGGGGCTTCTCAGGCCTGTGGGACCCTCTGAGCCCCTCCCTAGCTCCGCATGTCCCCATGGGCCCCGGGACCCCACAACGGGCCTCCCAGGCCTTGCCAAGACTCTTCTTCCGGCGCCTTCCGGCCAGGACGGGATCCAAGACCTCCCCCTGGGCTTCAGTGGGACCCAGGAACGGCGGGTCCGAGTGACGTCCGTGACCCCCAAGAAGAGCAAAGGGGACGTGAAGGCTGGGAGGGGCCCACGGGCTGGGCTGGCAAGGGACACACATGCGGGGCTGAGGGGCAGCGCGACAGGGTAGGAGGGCCGGGCTGAGGGTCCGAGGAGGACGGGTTGGATGGTCAGGGGAGGAAGGGCCGCCCCAGCCCCCGGCACGGGCTCCCCAACCAGGGGGCAGGGCCAGCTCCGGGTGCGGGGCTGAGGGCCCGAGGTCCTGGGGACACCTGGGATGGCCAAGGCCGAGATCCCGGGGCAGCATCCTGGACTGAAGGGGCCTACGCGGAGGGGCCCCGCCTGCTGCAGATGGACGGTCAGACAGAGGGACAGGGCAGGGCTGGCAGTGACCTCACTGTGGGGACGTGGCTGTGTGTGTGTGTGTGTGTGTGTGTGTGTGTGTACATGTTGGGTGATGAGCCGGATCCAGCCCTGGGAACAGTGCCCCAGGAAGTGGACACTGTGAGTGGTGGGCGGGTTCCTGGGGCCTGGGGAGACGGGGCAGCGTCGGGGACCCACCTGGTGGGCAGCGTGCAGCAACCGTCCGCCGTGAGTCTGACTTGCGTCTCGTAGCTGTCGAGGGGGCACACGGGCTGCTGGACCGTGGGACACTCCACCGTGCTGCAGTCCACGCTGAATACTGGAGGGGCAGAGACACGGTGACCAGGCGCGGGTGGGTGGGTGCGGCCCATGGGAGCCCCAGGACCCCACGGAGGCATCATGCAGATGGACGTGCGGCCTAGCCGGCGGTGCTCCGGAAAGCTCCAGAGACAGACCAGGCCGATGCCACTCGGGGCGTCTCTCTGGCAGTTCCCAGAAACAAACAGACAAACCGAACCACCCGCCACCCCCCCCCCCCCGCCCCAAAAAAGAAAAAATTCTCAGGGATGGTGAGAAACTCAAAGTGGCAGCTGCCGTCCTGGCCGGGCTCAGGGGCCACCACAGACGAGGAGGAGGAGGAGGAGGAGGAGGAGGAGGAGGAAAGTCACAAAAAGGAGGATCCGTGGGGGTCATGGCATCAGGGGGCAGCTCAGAGGGGGCTGGAGCCCTCTGGGGAGGAGCAGGCACAGCCGGAGCCCCTCGATGCCAAGGCCCGGGGATGAAGCACGGGGAGGGAGCACGAGAGGGAGCAGAGAGAGGGAGCACGGGGAGGGATGCGGGGAGGGAGCATGGGAAGGGAGGGAGCATGGGTAGGGAGCACGGAGAGGGACGGGGGGAGGGAGCATGGGGAGGGAGGGAGCATGGGGAGGGAGCACGGAGAGGGAGCATGGGGAGGGACATGGGGAGGGAGCACAGAGAGGTAGGGAGTACGGGGAGGGAGCACGGGGAGGGAGCACGAGAAGGGACACAGGGAGGGAGCACAGAGAGGGAGCACGGGGAGGGGCGCGGGGCGGGGCCTACCTGGCTTGCACTCGTAGAGGTCGCAGCACTCCCCGGGCGTCCCCGAGGCCTTGGACACCAGGATGTTGAGGTGGCCCGGCTGGCACACCTTGCGCAGGCAGCCCGCGGGGTCGCACACGCAGCGGCTGGGCAGGGGGCAGCACTCGCCGGGGGGCGCGTAGCCCTCGATCAGGACCGAGTCTTCGGGGCAGCGCGGCGAGAACTGGACTTGGCAGCGGGCCTTGGAGCAGTCCGGCTTCTCCTCTGCAGGGGAGGGAGAGTTTAGGCGCGCCCAGGGGCCGGGGGTCTCCCTGGGGTGGCAGAGGACGGCGAGTCTGCAGCCGGGCAGACCCAGAGCAGAGGACCGGTCCTGCAGAGGCGGCCCAGCCCGGGCCCGGGACCAGCTTCAGGTCCAGCCGGACTCGTGGGCGCAGACGAGGGGCTCCCGGCTGGGCCCAGGAGCACGGAGACCCAGTCTGATGGCAGCGGCTGGGCGAGCCTGAGGACTCCCCCGGGGCACGGGCCCGTCCCACGCACCCAGAGCACCCGGGTGCGGTGCTGACCCGACTGGACCACAGGAGAGATGAACAGCGAGTGGAAAGTGGGGCCTCCCGCTCTTGGTTAAAGGTTGGAAGAAACGTGGGTGGGGGGCTGAGGGGTCCCTGCACGGGACCAGGAGCCCCCAGAGTCCCATGACGCCTGCCGGGACAGGACACAAGTGCAGGGTGGGAAGAACCCGCCGGGCGTCCTCCCCGCGCTCTCCCGCAGTAAACTTGGACGCAGGACTGTGGGGAAGCCTGGGGCCGGCTCACTGTCCACGGGGATGGCTGAGGCCACGGCTGGCCGGCTTGGACCGCTGACCACTTAGCCTGATCCAAGATCACAACTCCCCGTGTGTCTGCCGCAGGGGCGGCCCTAGGATCCGTTTCCCATAGCCCAACATCGAGGGAAACTGAGTCTGGGGCCCGTGCGGTGCTTGTCCATCCCGACAGAGACACGGCCCTGGGCACCCTGCTCTGGTCACTTGCGAGGACCACCCCAGCTCCCCGGGCACACACATGGGTGGCACCAACGGCTCCCCACTGGCGGCTCCTGAGTCCGGCCTGTGTACCCCGGGGTGGGGTAGGGGGAGGCACATCAGGAGATCAGGGCCCACCCATAGGAGAGGGGGTAGGGGGCCAGGCGGGAAGAGGGCCAAGAACTCTGGCCAGCCCTTGTGTGACTGTCCACTGCAGTGGGTGGAGCAGCCATGGGAACGGAGCCGAGGGCCTGCAGGATGGGGTCGGCCGTGGGCAGAGCCCGCAGGGCTGCACCCGAGGGTGACCGGGCCCAGAGGGAGCCCCGTGGGTCAGGGAGAAGCAGCCCGCATGGGGGCTGGTGCGAGACGGGGCGTCCGGCCAACGAGCCACTGTCCCCTCATCAGCAAAGGCCCCACACCCGGCACAGAGTGCCCAGAAGCCGCCCTGTCCCGTTCCCGGGCAGCCATAAATTCACTGCCTCGGACGCGACCCTTCAAGCCCCCTTCAACCCAACAAGGCCACTGGCTGCTTCTCCCGCTGTCTGGTTTCCCGACGGCCCCACACACCGGCTGTTCCCTGCGCCTCTGTCTTCCCGCAGGGCTGTGAGGGCCCGCCTGTCCCCGCGGGTCACTGACGGGCTCCTGCCACTCTTCCGGGCAGAGCTGTCGGCTCTCCGACCAGCAGGCCCAGGCCGGAACGACGGACAGAATGACCTTTCCGGAGGCCGTAGGTGTGAGACAGGCCTTCCTCAGTGCTGGGCTGGGTGGTTGGAGCCTCGCCCCTCCTCTCCTTCTGGGGCCCAGCCCCACCCAGGGCCCCAACGGGCAGGTCACTTTGCCCAACTCCAAGGACCCGGAGCCAGGGATGGTGTGACCGGCGCCTCTTTCTCAGCCTGTTTCTAGATCCTTCTGCCAGCGGAGAGACCTCCACCTCTCCCTGCATCCCCAGAAAGACGGCGGGGAGGAGGCTGCAGCCCTCGAAGAAGCCTCTCGGATCTATATTTAATACTCGAGTTCATTAGCGGCCTTTCTGTCTGGTTGCCCTGGAAACACGCTCTAATTGGCAACTTAAAAAAAAAAATAAGACCAACAAAAAAAGTGTCCCAAAGACTAAAGTGACAGCTCTGCCCCTTGCCATGGCGGTGATGGGGCCAAGGGGCCGCTTGGCCCAAGCGGGTCATTGCAAGCTGACAGAGAGGACACGGGGCTGGGGACCTGCCTGGTGTGTGCCCCAGGTCAGCCGAGGCCTTGTTGGGCAGTGATGCCCTGACCGAGGGCACGCTCCTCTCGACCCCTCGGCCTCTGCAATGGCCCTGGCAGTCCCACTTCGGAGATGGCCTGGGGACCCCCACACGGGCGTGAGTGGGTGAGCACAGAGCAGAGCGGAAAGGGGTCTGGGGCGCCCGTCCCCGCCACACACTCCGCTGCCCCTTCTCGGCTGGGGGTCCGTGGGCACCGCGGCCACGTGAAGGGCTGGGGAGACGATGCAGGACTCGGGAGGGCCCTGGGGACAAGCCCTGTGGCCACCTGCAGCAGGGCAGCTCAGAATCTCGCGTTGAAAGAGTCCTGGGAGGCCTTGAGGACGTCAGGGGGGCACCGGCCACGGCGCCGGAGGGCAAGGGGAAAACGGGTCAGAATCCAGGGGAGACCTTGGGTCAGAATCTGGGGGGACGGGTCAGAATCCAGGGCTCGGACCGGCAGACTCCGCAGGAAGCGGAATCACACCGGCGGCTGGGTGCCCAGAGCTGGGGGCAGCACCCCACACAGACCACAGGCTGAGTGGCTGTGAGAGCGGCAAGCCCACCTCAGGGACCTGGAGGGACCCCACGCAGGGTCCCAGGAACAAGGCCCGCCACGGGGGTTCCAGGAGAGATGCCAGGGGCGGCCGGGCGGGTTTCCAGCTTTCCTGTTGTTTCTGTTTGGGGGCCACGCCTGGTGGACCTCAGGGATTCCTCCTGGCTCTGCCTGTAGGAATCACTCTGCGTGGTGTTTGTGGGACCCACAGGATGCCGGGATGGAACCCGGGTCGGCTGCGTGCAAGGCCAACACCCTCCCCGTTGCTCTATGGCTCCAGGTCCCGGAAAATCACTGACGCCCGGGCCCTGCCGGGACCCATCCCCCAGCCCTGCAGGCGAGGGGAAGTGCCTGCCTGGCTGGGGGTCCCGTGCCCTGACCCCCGTCTCGTCTCTCCAGGGGAGCTGGGGCCCGGCCCACGGCCAGGCGGCGGCCCCGAGTCTGCGGGTGGCTGGGTCGTCTCACGGTGAGGGCACACATGGCCTGGCCTGGCCCGGCCGGCGCTTATGCCAGGGGGAGTCCGGCCGCCCCGGGAGCTCTGGAAACTTCTCTGACGCGTGGGGCGGATGCCACCGGACGTTTTCCTACTCGGAGGCCGAGCTCTAAGCCCCGCTGCGGATTCTTTTCGCCCACATTCCACGATGTCATCATGACCTTTTTTGGCAGGCGCCCGCGGGGAGCAGGGAGGACCTGCCCGGCGCAGTCACGCCGCGGGGGGGGGGGGCGGGGGGGCTCCTTCCAGGGTCCCAGAGAGACTCTCAGCCCATTTTCCCAGCACGCACCCCCTGCCCTGCCCCTGTGGCTGGGAAGCGCCACGCCGCGGGCTGACACCGGGGGGCGCCAGCGAGCCTCACACAGGCTCAGCCGAGAACACTGGCATGAAGGAACTCCGGAGTGACAAACACAGCCACGTTCTGGAGGCCGTGGGCCATGCCCAGGGGAGCTCAGGGCCAGCCAGCTCCTGCCTCTGTGCTCGGGGGAACCCCACGGCGCAGGGTCCAAACCCAGGGCTCAGGCGGGCACTGCACGCTGAGGCGTCTCTGACGGCGCGACTTAACCCAGAGGCTTACGTGGGGCTTACGTGGGGCAGGGGGCCGGCCAGAGCCCTGCACGCCGGAGCCCCTGGGTCCGATCCCAGCACCACAAGGCCCCCCAGACACACACAGGAGCTGGCCCCGAGGGCCGAGCTGCGGGGCGGGAGCCGGCTCAAGCAGTCCCAGGAGTGTCCCCCAAACCAAAAGGTGGAGAAAGCAAAATTCGGTCAAGAAGGTAAAAGCCAAGCAGGACGCCCCACTTAACGGGATCGAGTGTGTGCAGGAGGAGCCCGGGGGCCTCATCCCAGGCCCAGCAGCTCCGGGCGGGGGCAGGGCAGGGGCAGGCTCGGAGCCACCCGGGTGCTGTCCATCACAGAGGCAGGCTCGGAGCCAGCCCAGCTCAACTCCAGGCAGATGGGGGTCTTGGTGCCGCCGTTCCCTACTGGCAGAGGGCTTTGCCCACGGCACGTTCAAACATCCCCGCGCAGGCGGCTGGGCGGGAGAGTGGCCAGGCCGAGCACGGCGCCCAGCGGACCCGGGAACCCCCGGGACCACACAGCTCGTCTCTGCGGCTGCATCAGGGGGAAGTGACGCTCTCTGCTGGCACCGTGCCACTCGACAGGTGGTCCCCGGCCAGCCGCGCCAAGCAGCCATGCCTGGGCGCTCGTAAAAGCGGCAGCCGCGGGCCCTGAGCGGCCGCTGGGAGGGAGCACTGTCACGGGAGCAAGGTTCCCAGCAGGTGTGAGGTCTGGGAGGACGCGCGGCAGAAACTGGGTTTTCTGATACACCCCCCCCTCCCCCCGGGAACCGTCTGAAACGCAGCCCTGGAGGGCCGATCTCGGGCCACTGAGTCCCACAGAGACAGTCGGAGAACGGCACGGGGAGATAATGATTCCCTACCTTGGCAGCCGCTGGAACCCCCCAGGGAACTTTAAAAAAAGATCCAGACACTCGGGGGCCATAGTCCAGTGGGTAGAGCGCTTGCCTTGCACACGGCCGACCCGGGTTCGATCCCAGGCAGCCCAGAGATGCGACCCCATCCTCTGGTCGGTGTAGCCCAGGGACACGGAATCACATTCTTCCCAGAAGGCATCTGCACAGCGACTGTGTCTCCGGGTTCCTGTGCAGCCCCCTCTCGCTGTCCAGACGGACCACGGGGACCCGGCCCCCAGGAGCTGGGCACACCCCCACCCCGACACACACACCACCCCAACAGAACAAAGGACGACACCAGCCCCAGGCACAGCCCTGCACACACACAGGCGGATCCCCGGGTGCCTGCCGGCAGCACTCCAGACTGGGGCCGGAGGTCGGCCCGCCAGCCTGCTTCTCCGCCGGGCGCCACCCTTTGTCAGCACCGGAGAGCCGGGAGAACGTGATCCGGGCTGGCTGCGGGGAAAGAGGGAACCGTAAACCAG